TTCATCCTTATTGGTGAAAATCAGCAATGTGTATCTCATGAAACCCCAGAGAGTCTCGACACCACATCCTTCCAGCCAGTGGTTGAACACAGCCGTTCGGTCACAGGCGGCTGATCGGCAGTGCGAGTTTCACTCATTCTTCAATCACGGAGACCACATCATGTGGTCACGTGTTGACTGGATCCTTGAGGCACGAGGTCTTCGAAGCTGAGTTTTTTAAGATACGCACTACTGCTGATGCTAATAAAGGTGAAACAGCTGTAAAGTGCTTCTCGGTCTTTCAGCGTATACTGCGGTTAGTGACTGGAAGAAACCTCACTTAAAAAACGTATATTCGACCACGAAATGCCGTGCTAGGGTCTTTTGACTGGGCTTACACATGCAGAGTAATTGAAGCTTTTGCTCTGTATTCACGATAAGGCAAAAGCGTCAACGAAAGTGGTGGGTTCTGAACGTCGCTTCAAGGTTACTTTGAGAAAATAACATATATAGGTGATTCAGTTTAAAACTCGATTGGCTGCTCTGTGAAATGGCATCAAAGTTCAATAAAGTTATGCAATAAAATCACGGAGTCAGCTACGAAATTCCCATTTGTAAGATGCCACTTGCGGCGTTCGGTTTACCTCAGGATCTGTAGTCATTGGCATATCTCCCCTGCTTGTTGAGCGATAAAACAGTTAGGGGCCATGAAATTTGTTCGCGTTTGAAAAGCTCGGATAATTTGGAACAGTAATTCCAAGCCTTTCTCCTCTTGCGCTCCCCGGACTTAAGGATATATAGAATTCATATCAATAAATATGCGAATTTAGATACAATTGCAAACTGAAGGACGGTTGAAGTATAAAATCTCAGCACAAACATTAATACCGTGTGGCTTGCACGTCATCAACTTCAAGCCGGCCGTGAACTTATTTGCACCACATGACTGTCAGCTTCGATACAAGTATAAATCTGGATTCTAATTAGAGCACTGTGCGGACGTGCGTATTTATCCGTTCTCTCGGAGAAATGCTGGATGATGCAAGCCAATCAGCCCATCACCTGCAGAGCGCCTCTGCAGCTCAAAATGTCGAGTTGAGATCACTGAGGAGCTCCCAGAACTCGACATGCACAATGTAGATTCGGGCGGCGGCTGGATAACTGTGAAAGAAACCGTGATCGCAGCCTTTATTGTTGTCCACCAAAGATTGCTCGTACACCAACCAGATCTCGCCATGATCATAAACTCTGACTGAAGTCAGGAAAATTATACTGTCAACAATCGACGATGATGACGCGCACAGATCTCTCAAACGTTGAACAATGAAGGGCCCAAGGATTGATTGGGAGTGCTGGTGGATCGCCAGAATCAAGCTGGGTTTAGCCATAGCCAGGGCTGCATCGGTAATATCTTCACTTTGCCAACAGTGCTGGGACTATGCCACTCCCGAAGACCAAAAGTGATCGTCTTTCTCACTGCTTTCAACTCTTTTGACCGTCAGAAACTGTGACAGTGCTTAGAGATGAAAGGTGTCCATTCTAAATTCTTGTGTTTTATGAAAGCTGTACATGCTTCCTGATGTGAATACGTGCGTACGGTAAATTCACTCCCGAGTTCATCATATCCAATGGTGTTAGACAGATGTATCTTACGTCACCCGTTCTCTCTACCAAGTCGGTGACCAGAGTACCCCGAGGCGTTCGCTCACGTCCAACATTGAGCACGCAGATAGTATTGCTCTCCTTCGATCGGACCCCTCGGAAATACAATCTACTTTAAATGGCCGCAATAATTTTGCTCTTTAGTTCTTACCTGCTGCAGCACGATTGGGTGGGGTCAAACGCAGATCCCATATTTGCAGATGAACGGCCAAAATGGTGGACAACTGCATAAGCCCGGGAGGTCTGGCGAAAGAAACTAACTCCCGAATTCGGAAGGTAAGGACAGCCAACACCTGACATTGTGGCGCCGACGGAACATCACCTTGACACTTCTCTGCGAAGTATACAATGCCGCCGTCCAATTTATCCGACATTATGGATGTGATACATGGTCGTTGGTCGTGGAAGACCCTCAAGGTGTTTGGCCAGTGGTCTCTCCGGAGCACGGCGAGAATCTGGCTGGAACACCACACGAGTAGTGCTGAAGTGCGCCAAATCGTTTTCTGCAAATTTTATTCTCCATCGATAAATCAAACTCTACAGGTTACGCTCGTTAGACCATGTGCTTCGTATGTCTGACGACCATGTGCTTCGTAGAGCCCCCGTCGTCTAGGTTTGTATCGGATGGAGACGACCCAGAGTTATTACCTTTACTGCGTAGTTGTCATTTCCTACTGTTCTCGGCAAAGAATTCCATCTGTCATCAATGCACAGACTGGACCATCGTCTTCAAAGCGTGACCGTCGTTTTCTCACTATCACTGTTCCCAGTGAACGAAGCTGTAGCAGCCGGAATCACTGAAATTCCTGAGCTCAAGAATTGAACTAAGGTGAACGGATTAAAGACAATGGGGATTGTCCCTGTCAGTCTCATGCATAAGATTAGGTTATGACGCGGGATGCATTGCAAACCCAACTCAGGAACATCGCTGATCTATTCTAATTCTGTCGGTGACCAATTACGGAGGAAAGAGCCGTAGTCTTCAACCGATCGATGTCCGGTTCCACTAGCTGAGGCTGCGCTGTCTGTGAAAGACAAGTATGCTGGTGTGGTTTATATTCGTATAACCGCCGATAATCCCATAGGTAGCACACATTTCATCTATCAACCGAAAGCAGGTCCCACTTTTGCAACCCGTCACGGCATGTCTCATCAAGACTTCATTTATTCCAACCACACATTATCAAGACCTGTATGCTCACCCCAAGGCAACACCCAGAAGTGTTAAGGCCCTAAAAGTGCAGATCCTCTTCACAGAATCTGACGAGAATGAATGCAATCTGCCGAGATTTTGTGTCTCATTTTTCGGAAAAATGGATCGATATCCCCTCTTCACACTCGAACATACATATGATAAAAATCTTATTCCTCACATTTTGCACTACTTAATAAATTAGAGTACTAAAACCCTGTTATCACTCGGCGAAAACAACCAAAAACCAGCAACTTTTGGCTTATCGACTACTTTTCGAAGCTGGTCGACAGCATTTAATGTATTCTGATGTACTCTGACATTTTGTCATGGTTTTGGCAAAACGTTTATGTTCGTTGTCAAAGTATGCTACAGTTCAACTGAAGGTCGACCTTGAAAATGAGATAGACAGCATCGTTTGACTCATGGTCTCAACATGGATGGGCTCAAATGGATGATTGTCCCCTTCCAACGCGATAGTCTGTTCTCCATGGCATCCTGGCCGCGTTTTCCGTCTAGCGGATGTTGCTGTTCACCCTACTGGCAAGCATGGTTTCGACACACTTGACTGTCTGTCAGTGATCCTCGCCTAGTCAGCATACTGCTTGAGACAGCTGGGGTGGTTTGCCTGGGTCGCAGCCCTAGCACTAGCCGGTGGATGTGCCGTGTATTGGGGAGTGACTGACTTTCCTGCCCAGGTGTGCCGGCCTACCCGGGGAACAGAAAGACTGAGTTTCTGTCTTTCACACACATGCTCGAGTCTCCCCTCGATGGGTTTCCATGCCATTAGCATGTGCACATGAGCACAGCCCTGAAGAAACACAATACACGCATCAGATGGCCGGACAACTAAGTTAACAGTTTTGACCTATTAGAGACGCGAAAGTGTGTCGTCCAGCATGCGGATTTTCACCGGTATCAGTCCCATCATCCATACGTACGGCAGTTCCCAGATGATAGCTGGTGTCTATAACCTGTATATTTAATTGAAGCGAACAGCCCGTTTGAAACTGAGTGGTAGCCGGGTCGCGTTGCAGGTGGATTCCTTTATTCCGATTGGCCTGACCGCTTTTCCCATGTATGAGTTTCATTCTATCCTCCATCCAACGGAAAACCTTTCATTTATAACAGTTCTTCTTCTCTGGTGTTTGGTTTGATTGGTCCACACATAAGTTCCGTTGCAATGTGATCTGAGTTTCTGACTAGTGATTACTTCATGAGGACTCTTTTCGTGTTGTTACCTCCAGTCTTCTGATTTATTTGTTCATGTTCCGCCTGGTGAAGTCACACACGCTGGAGCTTTGCTGGAGCTTGAACTGTAGGGCCAGGTTCACTTGCTGTTCTTTGTATGAACTGCCTCCTCTGTTTAAACAAAACGAATGGCTCAAAGGTATGTTCCTATGAAGAGTGTACATGACATCTTGGGTTGCCCAAGCACACATCTTGGGTATTTTGTTGTATCCTTCCCGAAACAGTTGTCAGATTTGACAACCTCGTTCTTCTCTGAAACGACTTCACTCAACCTGACAAATCTCTTCCCCAGAAAACTTATTTGCCAAACATTGTGGAACTACCAACTCGAAAGCACGTTGATATCGCCTGCGTATTCATTAGCGAATCAGATGTCTGACTAGTTCATGATCGGAAGTTCCCCTCAAGCGTCTGCAAGGATACCAGCGTTAAAAAAACGATTTTTTAGCCTTTTCAATCTAACCACTCTATCCGGGCATTAAGACTCACTCTGAAACTAAACCGGATTCTACGTCAAATTTTGCTGTCCTATGCGAACACATCACACGTGTTCAGGAAGCTCCCGTCATCGTGCGGAGAGCGCATATAATTATAGAACCTAAACAAAGACGAAGCATTGAACTCCCTCAATAAAGACCAAGATTTTCACACCATAATGTCTTGAGACAGAAAAAACATACTAGGAAAATTTTGTGGGTGAATTACGTGTCTGTGTGTAAAACCCGTTGAAAGATCCAGATATCCAAATCCCACAAGAGTATGCCAATACACCAGTCACCGCAGTATATACCGACAATCTAGATGACGGACACAAACATTCATTCGGAAAAAGCCAATGGACCTTGCAGTATGTCTTCTTTGGTTCAATGTTCAGTATTCAGTTAGGCGAGATGGTCCAAGTGGCTAGAGCGCGAAATTACTGATCGGAAGGTTCGAACCCGACTTCTGCCACTCGACTTCCCCTGTCTAGGCTTGGGCAACCTGGCAGTATCCCAGCCCTCGTGCTTCCTTCTTGTGGCATGGCAGCTGGGCACCGAAAGGGTGCTACAGCTGAACGATTCAGTTGGAAAAGAATAGTCAGGGGTTCCAGGTTCTGAAACCTAGTGCCACAGGAATTTCGGATCCCATCTGTCGCCTCTTGATTCGTGGAGTCTCCCGCGTCGCCAGATAGAGAACCGCTGGACTTACATCCACACCGCAGCTACCTTCTCCTTGTGGTGTAATCAATCGCCGCCCTACTGCAGGCACATTGGCCTCGCCCGAAGCGCCAGGCGGAACAATGTTTGACACGCATTGCTCACTGAACGCTTATGGGGAAATATGAGGGGTATGTCAGTTTGCCTACAAGCCAGTGTGGTTGCTTTCCTAATGTCTTGAACGGTCTCGACGACTGAAGCAAATGTGTCCAGATGTCTCTCATACTTTCTTGGTATTTTGCTCCACTTGACCGACCTTAACTTCTTCAATATCTTCTTGAAACCGAAGTGCTATTCCACATGTTCATGTCACTGGGCGTAATCATGGTGACAAAGGGGCTTTCTGTCAACTTTTATTATCATATTTTGCAGACTGTTTGAACCTCAAACTAAACATTGTAGAGAACTATGTCGACTCCATCATTATCGGTTATCCAGTTACAGGTTTTGGGCTGAAGGAGCAGAACACGCATCTACGGGCCAGTGATATTTCCTTCAATCTGAATCCATCCAAGAGATTAGAATACAAACATCTCTTCAAGGGTCATTCATCGTGCAATTTAAATACACTGAAGTCCTGAGAGTTGAGCGATATCCTGCGGTTTTTTAGCGTGCTCTCATGGGCGGTGATCGAGATTTTGCCTCGAATGATTGATTGCTCCATATATTTCTCCTTTTGTTATCAAGTCGTCCCTTATTTCCATCGCAAAGTTGACGGAGTTTGACGGTTTGGGTGAATCTCATTGTGTCGGTTGATAGAATTTTCAGCTGAGCACCCCCCTGATCTTTTCTCGGGTTATCATATGGAACTGGCTCACTTCGAGTTTTTGTCCTCCCGGATATTTATATACGGAGCAGATGCGAATCAGTCATGTTTCCAAGCGATAAATCGTCCACGCCGTTGCACACAGAAGAACATTCCTGTGAAGGAAATATGGCGACGGAAAATTCAGGGTTGCGGAAGCCTCCCCAAGAAATCATTCCTTAGGAGCTCACAGAAAACCTTTCGGCTAGGTTTCCTCTTTCTCTCTCTCTCTATCCCAGAGGATACGAAATTTTGTCAACCTGAAAAAAATGCGAACCTGGCCTCAAACAGTAAAACAGATTGAAAACTCAAATAATTCAAGGGTCCCATGGAATTTCTGAAAGAAATGAGCAGAAAAACTCTGGTAGGCTAATCCTTAAACCTAGACTACTCAAAAGCGAGTTAAGCTTACCGGGATGAGTCCCAAAGAGGAACACCATTTTCTGCTAAACCGTGAACGTCCTCTGGCATAGTACTACATATGACCCAGCTGTGATTTGTGGTACAGCTTTAACTGACATTCAAGGCTTACGGTTGCCAGTATGCGATAGTTGCGAACGGCACAAAATGTTTGGCCAATCTCCCGAAAATTCCCATTTATAATAAGAACCGTTCCGTTTCTGCTTTAGTGGCACGAAGCTGCTGAAGTTGATGTGTTGACCTGACCAAGTAGGTTTTCGGTACACCGATCGTTTCAGTGTACCATCGTGACGTCTTTCAAGGCCAACATCTAGGAAGTGGAAAAAGTTGTCGGTTTCTCCTTCCGAGGTGAACTGAATGGCAGTGTGGGCCTTATTGAACTCTTGTTGGAGTGATTCCAATTCGTCTTTGTTGTTAACAACGGCGAAGACGTCGTCAACATATCGGCAGTAGTGCTGCATATTCTCAGTGTTAGCCTTTAATGAACCACTTTCAAGTTTACTCATGAAAATGTCGGCTAGCGTTGGGCCCAGTGGTGAGCCCATGGCAACGCCGTCAATTTGACGGTAGAGCATGCCATTGAACAGTAGTTGCACATTCAATGTGCATCTCAGGAGGAGTTCACGCAGCTCGTTGACTGGAATAGGAAGCTGAAAATTATTCGCTTCCATGTAGTTACATAGGTGCTTAATCGCTTCAGTTAAGGGGACGTTAGTGAACAGTGAAGTCAAGTCCAATGAACACATGAACGAAT